CCGCCATATCATTCTTAGTGAGCGTCCAAAAACAAGACTTGAGTTGAGTTAAAAAGTAACTCATTTTATATGCATGCATGCACATGCACCCGGCACTGACACACGTATATTAAGAATTGTTTATTCCCAACAAATTTCCGACAATGGAACATTGTTGTATACATCACTGATCATGCATTGTATTACACAATACTCGTACTATCAATTAATTTTGAACAATGAAAACACTAGCCTCACCTCGGTCATCATGGTATTACAAACTAATATCATGGTTTTTAAGAATATAGTGATTAAATCTCCCGCGAACTGAGGAAGTTTGTGAAAGTCCCTCGGGACGCCTTCGGGCTTCGCCCTCAGGCTTTCCCTCGGGACTTTCACAAATCTCCCTCGGTTTGCGGGAGATTTTATCACTATATTCTTAAAAACCATGGTATTACTTATAATAAATCACTACGAACATAAATCGTCTACACCCCCCGGAAAGTTTACTGTATGACTGAATGACTGACTTACTCGTTTGAATTTCCCCCCAGACATCACAATACTGTGAAGTTAAGTGAGCGTGCGCAATGCGTAATGGACAGGGACCAATGAACAATGGACCAGGAGACTTGCTTCCTAAACTGAGAAACTTCTCAGTCAGTTATAAGGGACTATTAACTCTTGATGTAAAAACAGTTTTTAATTAATATTTAACATTTATTGAATGAGGTTGAGCACGATATGAAGAATTATCAAGCCCAAAGTTTGCTGTGCGAAAACTGAATTCAATAATTGTTTTATTATGTATTTAAAAAATTCAAAACAAACGGAAGCCATTTGTGTTTTATTTGTATTAAGAAAAAAAACAATTCCTAGTTAGTCCTTTGGCAGCCGTATATAACCAATTATTTCTGCGAAGACTCTCCAGTGTAGCCTGAACTCGAGGCAAGGGATGTCGATCTGGGACTGTTTTCTGGTTTAGCTGTCTATAATCAACACACAGTCTGAGTGTCCCATCTTTCTTTCGCACACAGACAACTGGTGAAGAATAGGCTGATCGTGACCTCCGTACCCACCCCCTATTTAAAAGATCTTCTACATATTGTTTAACTTCAGGGTAAAGGGGTCGCGGCACAGCTGTATAAGTATTTTGTACCGATTGATATTCATTTGTAACCTTTAGCGTTCCCTATTTCCCCTGCTTTCGAGAATGATTCAGATTCCTCTTGTAACATCTTTTGTACTATTAATTTTTGTTCATTTGAAAGTCCTTCAAGGTCAACATTTGGAACGTAACTAGATGCACCTTCATTGGAAGGTTCTGGACAATCCTGTCTCTCTTTGGTGCTCACAGCACTGGCAATATCCACTTTAGTTTTTTCACCAAAATGTCCACTTTCTTTTACCATTGTCTGTTGAACTTGTTTCACCTCCAGGGGGGTTATGGACCTGACCAATTGAATTCTACCTAACACTGTTCTCTTTCACAAAACAATTGGGTGCCTAGTGGGGTTATTTACTTGGATATTAACTCGTGATCCTCTGGAAATCGTTGTCAGTGTCTCTGGAACTTCAAGACCATCAGACCACGGCCATTCTAGGTTTGGTTCGAACAACACCGGTATCCTGTCTTCGATAGAACCAACATTATTAACATGGCAGGAAACTCTGACTGATTGGGCAGGTGGAATAACTATGTTCCTTTTCGTAGTTTTAAGTACAGATAGCTCAGTTGGCCTCTCAGCCTTTAGGAACTCTACAAGGGTTTCGACCCTATCCCATTCCACCCCAACCATGCTTGAAGACAGTGCATCTAGATAACGTGGTTGTCTTCGTCACTGGTGGAGTTTTGGGTGACTCCTTCAATAACATTATACCCAATGATAGGTAAATCTAATACATTCTTTGCCACCAAGAAAGGTACTTTAATTCTCTAATCATGATTTGCCCCCATTAATTTAAAATCTATTTCAATCCATCCATCATATGGTAGCGCTGTCCCATTGGCTGTTTTTAGATCTAGCTCACTCGCCCTAAGAAGGGACTCTACAATACGCAATTGAGCTTTAGGCAAGTTCTTCAAGACCCAATCACGAGGCACTATGGATACCTGTGCTCCAGTATCGCAAAGAGCAGTTGACTCCACCCCATTGAGGAAACATTTAACACTGCATTTTTTCCCAACTAACCGAGCTACAGTTGCGCCTTCTTTAGGCGACAAATGACATACGTATGTTCCATTATTAACTTCTCTATTTATAATGTTTTGTTCATTTAAGTGTGAAAGTTCCTTGCACAAGGATTTATGTTCACCCCAGTGTTTTTCTTGACATACATTTGAACAATACTGGAAAAAGTTGCATTTACTGCATTGTTTAAACAGCATGGGACAGATGAATTTGTTCGGCTACTCCCTGTGCCCCGGGCGTAGCCTCCTTTCGTTTCCCTGGGGCTTTTTACACCCCCTAGCAAAATGTTCTGTCGAACCACACTTGTAACAATGAATGCATTTCTCCTCACCTGACTCTTGACATTTCTTACACAAAGTACTGGCTCATGTATTGTGGTATATATACAGAATAAAATAAGAAGGGGGAGCGGGAACCAGAAAAGAATAACTGGGATTAGTATTGCGCGAGAGTGTCCTGAAGGGCGTTGGCCGTGGGCGTGGTGGGCTGTACGGACGGGGGGAGTTTTGGTGGTCATGTGACCTCAGGAATGTGCTCGCTGCCGCACACTCGGGAGGGTGTGCGCTGCTGTTGTTTGTTGGGGGGGGCGCTGCGCCGCGCGTTCTTACGAGAACGTTTTGGAGGCTGGGGCGAGATGCTACTCCAAAGCCGCGGTCGACCGAAGTGAAGGGATTCGAAAGTTCGCGGTCTTTTGTGTGCGCGCGTGCCGTCAATCATTTCGAAGCCGTGCCCCCCTCGCTTCTGATTGGTTGGGGTAGATTGACGTTTTGTTAGCCTGATTTACGGGTGTGTGATCGGGTGTTTGCAGGCGGTATAAGCTTTTTCCCGCTAAAATCAGTGGCGGGAAAATGTGGGAATGTGAATTTTTTAAAGTATATAGTGAGTGTACACACATTTTATATAATTGATTTATTATTTTTTATACAGTTATTTACAAGAGGGCTTTTTCAAGTTTTCTATTTTTACGATTTTTTAATGCTTCGAGTGTAAATTTTTCCAAATAGCATAATTTTTCTAGTTTGTCTTTGTCTGTTTTAATTCTTTCCAAGGCTTGCTCACGTTCTTCGGCTAATTGTAAATAGCATTGATAATGTTTTACGTTATAAGTTTCAATGTTTTCGTCGTTTGTAGTTAGAATCATTTTGTGTTTTTTTTCAGTACCATCTAAAGCGTACAGAATTAGGTCTTGCGAAGTTATTTTTTCTTCGTCTGCTTGATCGTTGGCAATTCTTGTAAGATGAACGTGCTTGTTCGGTCTTCCGCTTTTATTTTGGGCTTTTCTTTTTCGGTTTTTCAAATTTTCTTTTAAATTCTTTATGTTTTTTCCTATGGAAACGAGAGCAGAGGTTTGTTGAATGTCGTTTTTTAGCGGCGTTCTGCGTGGTGGCAGTGGTGGTGGTGCCGGGGGTGGTGTCGATATGGTGGGTGATGTCGGGGGGGTTTGATTGTCGCTACTTGATTCCAAGACTTCAGTCGTTTCGTTCATTAAATATTCTACTTCGTCGTTGTTGGGTAGTAAAGTGTTCGGGTTTAGTGGGTTTATAATATTTAACAAATCGTTATGGTAATAGTTGTTGTAAAGATTTGCTGCCGTGGTAGTTGTATATGCTGGTGGTAAGGGATCATTAAAAAAGGTGGGTTGTTGTCCAATAATCGACGTGTTGCTTGCCATTGTTCGATAGTTGGGTAGTTGTAGCCACTTGATATAGGCTTTATCGAACGATAAATACTTTGGATTATTCAGGCGGAAGAATTGAAAATCGGTAAACTTCTGCACGTAGTAGAGTCGATTTGGGTCACTTTCTACAATGTCTTGATACTCGAAGAAGAGCTTTAGATCTTGCTGTTGTTGCGGTGAAGCCATCGTAGTGAATAAATCGTCTAGAAATTGGAATTGATTTAAGCGTAAAAAGTCGATTACTATATTAGGTATGACAGCTAAAAAGTCGATTACCTAATATGGTTATGCGTTGCGTTGGTTTGTAAAAATGATTGATTTTTTTTTGTTAGTATGAGAGAATTGTTGACAAGATGTCGTTTGATGATCCGACGGAGAATTCGAGGAATGTGGGATTTGCAGACATTGTTGACCCTGCTAATGAGTATACTTCTGCTAGTTTGGTTAAAATATTGGATGCAATGTACAGGCGAATGTTTGGAGGAAGTATTTACAGAAATTGTTGAATTCACTACTAGTTCTACTATGGATGGTGAGCGATATGAAAAATGTTTAGTAGCTATAATAAATCGCATACTATTAAAAAATAGATTGGTTTTTCAAGATCGTTTTACATTTTATTTTAACGATTGTCTTTATACGAATATACAATACATTTTAACAGCGCGACTTCGTTATAAGGCATATGGTATAAATACATACAATGTGAATTTGGTAAATGTGTCGGCAAATGTTACATATAGGAATCTTTTGAGGGTACCCGTATGTTTTAAGGGTAAAGGGAATTTTTTTGATCACGCCACGATACTATTTGACGTACTCGATGAACATTTTTGGCAGATATATGCGACGAAAGATGATGTGTGGGCAATGATTAAAATAATTGCAGAGCGAACACATATACTGTGTAGTTATACGTTATTGCAGGAGATTTTAAAAGATATACGAGAGGCTAAAGAAATTGGTGCGTGGGAAGAATTACTATAAAAAAATTATTTTATTTGTTATAGACTGCGGAGGTTACTGCTAATGGACGCGATGCAAGAGATATACGATTCTGTGTTACCCTGTAATGTACCGCAACAAAATGAGATGTGTGAAGAGTTTGAAGATGCTTTAGAAGTAAAACGTTTATTGGCCGTTGACAAGCAGTTGTTAAATTTCATCTTAACGTTTTCACGAAAGAATATTGTGAAATTATCAATGTATAAAACACTGTGGGTGGTAAATGACTGGGTGTTTATGCCATTTCCACCGACTTATTTTTATTTTTTGGATTCCGTATTTTATGAAAAAACAAATACGTGTGTAATTTCAATTATGATGATATGTTGGAGTCGTGAGGTTTATTTGATTATTGATGTGGTTTTTCATATGATACCCGAGAAAGCATATACGTACCCCGTAAAGTATCGTATGCTGTATATTGAAATTAAAACTAAATTTAATGTGTTGTATTTTATGAACACGTTATTTGAGACGAGCATGACGTTTGAAAAATATGTGTATGGTCGTGTGGAGTTGTTTATTCAAAGTACCTTTCAGTATAGTGATTTGTTGGATCTGGAAAAAATACGTATGAATACTTCGAACTATACAGGAATGTATGGCTCGTATCGTTTGATTCAAATATTAGTTTATTATTGTACTATGCTTAAACGTGCACGTTGGCGTATGTTAACAAGTTGTGCGGGCTCGTGTATTATAAGGTTTGAATCGCTTTATACTCCATGGTATTCACACCCCATATGTAAATGTGTGTGTTAATGGAGAATGTACGTCAAAATGCCTATATTGGGGAAAACGAAGACAAAGCTGAAATTCAAATGTTATTGTCGAGTGATCGTCAATTTTTAATGTTAATGCAAGAAATATGGCGTTATTATTTACAAAAACAACCCGACGAGATAGGTTGTAATGTGGTGAATAATGGTTGTGTAACAACTATTCCACGATGTTATTTTTATTTTGAAAATATGTATACGATTGTTGGAAGTTCAACAAGACATCTTGTAATGGGTTGCGTATGTCTGGCGTTGGGATTGTGTGCAATTGTCGAGGTTGATTTTTATATATATCCAAAAAAATCGATGTATATAGCAACGGATCGTGTATGGAGCCCACCATTTTGGTGGGTTACAACTAATATTCAATTGGTACAATATGATGAGGAATACGAAGGGAGTTTTTACACATTTTTATACGAGAAAACAAAACTTTTTATGGCTGCTGTTGATCAATGTGTACAGAGTAGTGATGAAGATCTACGAGAAGTATGTAATACCGTATTGCATATGTATCCGTCCTATCGATTGGGTCGAATTATCAAATATCTTTTAAAAATGCAATATCGTATTAAAGATTTTATGACGTCAGCTTGTAAA